AATCACATTGATAAGAGAAAAATTCTGAGACGTCCTGAATTTAATTATGAGAACCAGAGGGTGGGCGGGGAGGAGAGGAGAGGGACAGGGAAGTTAGTCACATAACAGCTGTGTGCTGAGCTGGCAAGGAACTGTTCCATGTTTCTGGTGAATGTGGGTCAAGTCTGTGGCTTAGAGCAGCCAAGCAGCCAGCAGGCACAGAGTCCTCCTCCAGATGGCCCATCCTCCTGCTCCAACCTCCTTTCCTTCAATTGCATGTCAAAAATTTATTCTTTCCTTTTTCTTTTCTGGTATTAGTGATTGAAGCCATAGGCTACTGAGTTATATCTCTTTCTGTCTCTCTGTCTCTCTCTGTCTCTCTCTGTCTCTCTGTCTCTCTGTCTCTCTCTCTCTCTCTCTCTCTCTCTCTCTCTCTCAAAGGGGCTTAATAAATTGCTTGTACTGGGCTTAAATTTGCTATCCTCCTGTCTCTTCTTCACTGCTCAATGCCCATGCTACAGTGAGAGCCTGAGTGAGTTTATCTGTCATATTCAGCATCAAGTCCCTGGTGCCCTGCATGGCACCTTGGGCTGGTAAACCCATATGAAGTAGTGAATACTGAATGAGAACAAATGAGGAGGTTTTCAGCAGCCTGCTAGGAAGGAAGAAAATGGGCTGGCTGTGAATCTGAGCCCAGGAAGGAGTTTGCCTCCCAGCCTGAGAGAGATAGAGGGCCTTGGGAAGGGATATCCAGTACTGGGCTTCACCAGGTTTATTTATTTATTTTATCAGGAATTGAACTCAGGACTTTGTACTTGCCAGGCAGGCACTATGCCAATAGCATCACTCATTTAGATCCCTGCACCAAGATTCAGCCACTTGGCTACCTTTCACCACAAAATACAATTATTTGGAATATATCTGTTAAGTAATATCCATCTAAGTCACTAAGGCTGGGTACACTGGCATGTGCCTATAGTTTCAGTTACTCAGAAGGCTGAGTCAGGAGGATTGCTTGAGCCCAAGGGGTTGAGGTGTTTTGGCAACATAGTGTAACCCTGTCTTAACACCACCACCTCATAATACTGACCTATGAGTTCAACTAAATATTTTTTTTCAGTTTATTTTATTTTATTTATTTAGCACAGGGTCTACAGGGTCTCACTACACAAATTGGACTCATAGTGACACTCCTGTTTTTCTGGCACTGCATGTGAAGCCGGGGATTGAACCCCAGTCCCTGTATCTGCTAAGCAGGTGCTTTAATTCACTGAACTATCTGGCTGGCCTTGGGCACAACAGTTTTTATGTGCATCTTTGTTTCAGAATCTAAAATCACAGCTGTCATCCCTGCAGTACAGCGTTTTTCAAGTTCCGTGTTTGTGGACTTACTGTTCAAAAAAATTTTTTTTCAATTAAATATTGAAGGAGAAGAATCAGGAGGAGAAGGAAGAGGAGGAGGGGGAAAAAGAGGAAGGTGGGGAGGAGAAAATGAAAGCATTTCTGGGGCAATTAAAGAGATAGTTCAGATCTGAAGAATGAATAAATTCTCCAAATCCATTCTCAAACTATAAGCTGGCCTCCTCATTCATACAGGAACTATCACAAAGAATCAACAACTCTGATCTCATTTTATTAAAAATGTCTTACACAGCAAGAGAAGCCACCAACAAGCAAACAGACAGCTCACAATGTGGGAAAAAATGTTTTCCAGCTGTTTCTTTAACAAAGGATTACTACTCAGAACCCATGAAGAACTCAAAAAAATCAGTCCCCCCCCCCTATTTAAAGAGCCAATCCAAAACTGGACATTTGTGATGAATACACATTTCTCAGATAAAGAAATATAAACAACAAATAAATGTATGAAAAAATAAGGGGCCAGGGAGATGGCTCAGTAGATAAGCGCTTCCCTGGCAAGCGCAAGGGCCTGAGTTCAATCCCCGGGTCCCCCCCCCCCCCACAAAAAAAAAGAAAAGAAAAAATATTCAACACCATTGGTCATTCAAGAGATGTAAATTAAAATAACACATTCTTTTAACCCGGAAAGAATGGTTATCATCAAGAAATCAACCAATAACAAATGCTGGCAGGAAGTGGGGGAAAAAGGAGCCCTACTCTACTGTTGGTGGCAGTATAGACTGGTACAACCTCTGTAAAAATCAGTGTGGAGATTCCTCAAAAAACTAGGATTGGAGACCCCATTTAACTCAATTATTCTCCTACTGGGTATCTTCCCAAAAGAATTTAAAGTATCATACCACAGTGATACATGCATGCCTATGTTTGTTGTGGTACAATTGGTGATAGCTAAATCTTGGAAACAACCCAAATGTCCATAAACTGCATAAAGAAGATGTGGTTTTTTATATAATGGAATACTACTCTTCCATAAAGAAGGACACACTCAAGACATTTTTAGAAAAAGGGGTACACCATGAGTCCACACTCCTAAGTGAAATAAATTGGACACACAAGCAAATACTGCATTGTTTCTCTGGTGTGAGAAGCCAAAAGTGTAAAGAATGACCACAGTGTATAATAGGTGTTGTGAAATGGGAAGAAAATGTTCAAATGGGTAGGGGAAGAAAAGAGAAGGGAGGGGACTCCAGCGACGCGATGGCGGTGGTCTGGTCGTTTGCGCAGCCGGTCGGCCTTTGAGCCCAAGCAAGCGGCGGCGGGATTTCGGTATGTCCTCCTCGCACGGCATAAAAAATGAAAACTGCAGCCAGGCCAACCTTTGAACCTGCAAGAGGTGGAAGAGGAAAAGGAGAAGGTGATTTGAGCCAACTATCAAAACAATATTCAAGTAGGGACCTTCCATCGCATACAAAGATAAAATATAGACAGACTACTCAGGATGCCCCTGAAGAGGTTCGTAATCGTGACTTTAGGAGAGAATTGGAAGAGAGAGAGAGAGCTGCTGCGAGACAAAAAAATAGAGATCGTCCAACCGGATAACACACAACCTCCTCCTCGGTGTCCAAGAAGCCTCGCTTAGACCAGATTCCTGCCGCCAACCTTGATGCAGATGACCCTTTGACAGACGAGGAAGATGAAGACTTTGAAGAGGAGAGTGATGATGATGATACTGCAGCTCTTCTTGCAGAATTGGAAAAAAATAAAAAAGAGCGAGCTGAAGAGCAGGCCAGGAAGGAACAAGAACAAAAAGCTGAAGAAGAAAAGATTTGTATGGAAAACATTCTCAGTGGAAACCCTCTCCTTAATCTCACTGGCCCATCTCAGCCTCAGGCCAACTTCAAAGTTAAAAGAAGGTGGGGTGATGATGTTGTGTTTAAGAACTGTGCAAAAGGTGGAGATGATCAGAAGAAAGACAAGAGATTTGTCAATGATACACTGCGATCTGAATTTCACAAAAAGTTCATGGAGAAATATATTAAGTAGTACAGTTTTATGTGCTTAGTTCTGTACAGTGTTGACTGGATTTGTTGTCCTGTTTTTCCCATTGTCCAAGTAGTACATAGGAGTCCCTCATTTTAAGCTGCAAACTGTCTTGTCCATGGATGATGCATTGTGTGTGAGGGGCATGGGAATGGGCTTGACAGCTTCCCTTCTTGTCCTCCTCGCACGGCATAAAAAATGACAACTGCAGCCAGGCCAGTTCCTAGTCACATGAATGTTCCTAGTCACATGTTTTATTTTTAATGTTGGAAAAAATGTGCTTGCAATAAATACTTGTAATCTGAAAAAAAAAAAAAAAAGAAAGAAAGAAAAGAGAAGGGAGAGGGAAAGGAAAGAAGGGAAAAGGAAAAAAATAAACATGGAAACAAAGCTTTTGTTATTGGGGAGGGGAATGGGGAAAAAACAAGTTATACTATGTACGGGTACAAATTCTCTATGATGAATGCAATCATCATGTATATTTAAAATGTAACAATGAAATTTGATTCTTTTTATGTATTTAGTACAGGGTCCACAGGGTCTTACTACACAGATTGGACTCATAGTGATTCTCCTGTTTTCAGCCTCCCCAGTGCTTGGATTACAAGTGTGCGCCACCATGCCCAGACTCATTCGCTGGCTTAGTGCACCCTGGGGGCAGGGCCAGTGTGGCATTTGGACTAGGGGTCAAACCCTGGTCCCCGTGGTTGCCTAAGCAGGCGCTTAATCTGCTGAGCTGTCTCGCTGGCCCTTGAAGAATGCTTT